GCCTCTCACTCCGGGAACATCTGTTCACGCCTCTCAATCCAGGAATATCTGTTCACGCCTCTTAATGAATGAACATCTGTTCACGCCTCTCACTCCGGGAACATCTGTTCACGCCTCTCACTCCGGGAACATCTGTTCACGCCTCTCACTCCGGGAACATCTGTTCACGCCTCTCACTCCGGGAACATCTGTTCACGCCTCTCACTCCGGGAACATCTGTTCACGCCTCTCAATCCAGGAATATCTGTTCACGCCTCTTAATGAACATCTGTTCACGCCTCTCACTCCGGGAACATCTGTTCACGCCTCTCAATCCGGGAACATCTGTTCACGCCTCTCACTCCGGGAACATCTGTTCACGCCTCTCACTCCGGGAACATCTGTTCACGCCTCTCACTCCGGGAACATCTGTTCACGCCTCTCAATCCGGGAATATCTGTTCACGCCTCTCACTCCGGGAACATCTGTTCATGCCTCTCACTCCGGGAACATCTGTTCACGCCTCTCACTCCGGGAATATCTGTTCACGCCTCTCACTCCAGGATCATCTGTTCATGCCTCTCACTCCGGGAATATCTGTTCACGCCTCTTAATGAATGAACATCTGTTCACGCCTCTCACTCCGGGAACATCTGTTCACGCCCCTCAATGAATGAACATCTGTTCACGCCTTTCACTCCAGGATCATCTGTTCATGCCTCTCAATGCATGAACATCTGTTCACGCCTCACTCCGGGAATATCTGTTCATGCCTCTCAATGAATGAACATCTGTTCACGCCTCTCACTCCAGGAACATCTGTTCACGCCTCTCACTCCAGGATCGCCTGTTCGCGCCTCTCAATCCGGGATCGCCTGTTCACGCCTCTCAATCCGGGATCGCCTGTTCGCGCCTCTCAATCCGGGATCGCCTGTTCGCGCCTCTCAATCCGGGATCGCCTGTTCGCGCCTCTCAATCCGGGATCGCCTGTTCGCGCCTCTCAATCCGGGATCGTCTGTTCGCGCCTCTCAATCCGGGATCGTCTGTTCGCGTCTCTCAATCCGGGATCGTCTGTCTACACCTCTCAATCCAGGAACATCTGTTTACACCTCTCAATCCCGGAACATCTGTTTACGCCTTTTACAGTTTCTTTCCTCAGTGTTGTTGGTTTCCAGCGCACAGATCTTGCGTGTATTTTGTTAGAGGTACACGTCAGTGTTTCACGTTCTTGTATTATTATAAATGCTTAAATGTATTATTATATTTACACATTTTTTCACACCCCAATTATTCAATGCTAATATACAGAATCAGAAATGATTTTGAAAAATTATTCCTTGTATCCTGAAACTTTATGAAGTTTACTAGTATAGGAGGTTGTATGTGCGTGGATTCTACATAGAAAATTATAGTATCTACAAACACAGATATTTTTATTTCCTCCTTTCTAATCTCAATGTTTTAAATTTCCTTTTATTGCTTTATTCACTATTATTTTGAAAAGTATATAACTATATGAATATACATTTCAAAAGATAAAACCATTTGAGAGTATTCTACAGAAAATAAAAAATAGTAAAGGGGTCCGAATGGTTCAATACCTAATGGTTTCAAAGATTTTATGAAGAACTGTATGATATTACCTACTTGATATCTTTACAATTAGCACAACTACAAATCAAATGTCTTTGGAGTTAGCTGGTAATGTAAGATTATGAATTGGTAACAAAATTCACAGCCACAATCTGAGATATTCTGGGACCACGTGGGCTGGCTCAGTTAACCAGGGTCACCTTACTAGTCCTGATGCCTGGATCTTGGAGTTAAGTAGCCTCTCTAAGTGGTCACGCACCATTCAGAATGAATGAAGACATGTGCAGAGTTAGGAGAGAGATGAGTAGGTCAGCTTCCTGTCTTATTGGCATCCAGAAAATTAAGTCCCTGAACTCATCTTGATTAAAGTTTAATAATTCAAAGCAAAATTTGAGCTTCAAAAGAACAACAAAATATTGTTGCAAATATACCATTTTCTGTAAAGAATAAAAGCTACATAGTTTTAGGAAAGCAAAGGAAATCCTGACTCTTGGTTTAACTGATTCATTCACTGCCTCATTCATTTATCAAATACTTACTGAATAGATACTGTGTCCATGTGTGGCTCAGGCCATCGAGACACAACAGGGGACAAATGTTTATACTCGAGGTTGGCTAACTCATTAGGACAGTAAATGAGATTTATAATGCGTGCCTTATTTGTACTTTTAGATTAAAAAGACTGGTTATCAAATACACATGAAAAAGAGGAGATTTTCTTTCCAGTTGAGTCTTTTCCTGTGTGCAGGGAATGCACGCCTTGCCTCTGAAGGTGTTTTATAAATTTACCGTGACCTGAGATATGTGACTCAGAACTGACAGGACTGGCACTCGCTGGTCAGCCACTCACATTTCAGCCTGTAGCCCTTTACGCTGCTGCTCTATGCCACGGATTAACTGCTTTCTTAGCCTGACTAGAACACAGGCTTGCTGAGAGCAGGGCTATGTTGTCTTACATCACAGGAGCTTGAGCCGACGGACTGGGGACTCGGTGTCCACTGACACTGACCAGCTTGGATAGACTACGTCGGCACATCCAGTCTCCAGCTGCCCCGGTCATCAGACAACAACGCAGAGTGCTGCAGTCTGCGCCACCTTGGTGAACTGTTCAGAAGTAACAGAAAGCTTCAAAATAATTCTTTAGCTTCAATGAGAAAAAACAACTAAATTAACTTTAGTGGCTCAGTACTTTAGTGCTATTTTCTTTTCAAAGGATTTGAAGTGTAGTCGATTAAAAAGAAAGTTACTGGGCAACAGAGCGAGACTCCATCTCCAAAAAAAAAAAAAAAAAGTTACAATGCAGATAAGATGTTGAAGAAAAGAAGCCTAGAGAAAATGAGTGACTGAATTCTTGACCAAAAAAAAAAAATGTAGGGATGGTGATCTGACTTTAGGATACTAAAACAGTCTAAATTGTTGATCACCTTAACAAAAATGGAAATTTAATGCCCTTAATGAGATCCAACTCAATCAGAAGTGAACAGGGTTCAATGGCACCAGTGAGTAACACAAAACGTACTGATTCCATGGCCACAGTTAGGGATAATCAGCGGCTCCGTCAGACACCTGTGGCCTTACGAGCATCTTGTTTCCAGAGTGATTTAGACATCCACAAAGAAAGAGACCAGCGGGTGCAATCTCAATCCTTGAAAACAGTGAAAACGTGTTAGTGCCTCACTCCAACAGCCGGTCAAGATGGCTGTGGCATGATGGTCCTATGACAAGCTTCTCCCAGCACAGTGATCTAGGAGCACCGGCTGGGGCTACGAGACCCCTAGTGACCTTTGCCCTGCTTGGGTGCTGGTTTCCTAGGTTTGAGGGTAGAGCATCAAGGTTTAACGTTCTTACATGAAAGGCTTGTTTCCGTACGTTTGTAAGGCAGCATTTAGGTAAACATTTTTGGAGTCTCTGGGAATGAGGAAATGCGTATGCTACTAAAATGATCATTATTCATACTGGCTTCCCGAAGTTTTTGGATCTTTGCTCCCTACTCTGCTGGACTTCATCACAATGGTTTCATCAGTTTAAGACACTTAACCAGTCTTCCTTCGAGCTGTAGATGTGACCTGGTATGAGGTTTCCCAGTCGCCATGATGATATCACCATTATGATAATAATGCTTGATATTTATATTTCATGTGATACTGGTGAGCTAGCTTTATTTGTCTTGATTAAAACAGCAATGAGAATTCTTTATTTTTTTTCAAGAAACTTTAAAGTCTTTATTTCATTAGACCCTTACAATAACATCAAGAAATCAAAAAGTTAACATGGCTTCCCCAGCACCTCTCTGGCTAATGAGTGGTTATAGCTGGACTAGAGTCTAGTTCGTCAGTCAGTGGTTAGCTGGGTAAGAGTCTAGTTTGTTAGTGGTTAGTTGTTATTAGATAGAGTATCATTTGTTAGTTACTAGTTAGACGGGAGTCTAGTTTCTCAGTTTGTGGTTAGCTAGGTAAGAAGGTAGTTGGTTAATTAGTGGTTAGTTGGACTAGAATCTGTTAGGTAGTCATTAACTTTCTTTAATGCCTAATCTAATTCTTTCTTTACCATACAGCTACTGCTTTAAAAATCTGAGTTGATAAACCTGTCATTTATCAATTGTAAATCTAAATTTAATTGCAGGTTAGTGGATTTTGTTCTCAATGTTGGCTCAAAAAAGCTAGCTTTGTGGAAAATACCAGAGTTACCATGATTTGTGTCTGCAGAGCTAAGCCTCTCTTCTACCCTGCATCCTTACACGTTCTATGCTATAAAATATGCTGTTGTAAGAATATGATAAATTCAAAGCCTCCTTTAATCCTAACAGAGCACAGTTTTAAGCCAAATAAATGCATCTTTTGCAGAGTTTCAGGTAACTGAAGTTTCCTGGGGTGGATTTTTTTCTTGGTGGCATCACTGCAAAAATAGTCTATGGACCCCAGGGACAGACGCATGCTGTCAGTCACTTTTCAGATATAATTGTGAAATCCACAACTATCGACAGACTTAGAAATACACAGGAAACGTGAAGCCCATGGGTTCCCCAGCTTTGGAACGCTACTTCTGCAGCAGGTGCAGTGACACTGTCCGGGAGCCTTTCTACAGAAATTACGAAGCGAGCTCTTCTCTGACATTTGGTGAGCTCACTTCATGAAAGTTCCACAAATGGTGAGAGCATCTTTTACAATTCTAATTTTACGTACGATATTAGAGCTTTGTTGCAAACATTTGAGAAATTTTTTTCCCTGAGATGTTTTTCCCCTTTTGAAGTTTAACTCAAAGAGAAAATGCCAAAAATAATTAGGAGACATAAAAAACGTCTTGAAGGACAGAGAATCGTTTTTCACAAAATGCTTGGAAATGCCTCCTGACTGGCCTGTTTCTCACTCGTGTAAAATGCCAGGCGTGAGTGCCAGTCTTGAGGCAGACAGCCTGCCTGAGGCCCATACCTTGGTGAGGTCCTTGTACAGCTCCGGGTAGAGCATCGCCATCTCTGGCTTCACGTCCTGGTCCAGCACTAAGGAGAACACTGGGAACATGGTGTATATGGTGGCATACCTGCAAGACCAAAAGCGGAGTGCAACGGGCCTGAGAAACTTCTACCACACGGCTATAAAGAGACCTCTGGATTAGAGGTCACAGTTTCAAAAACACCAAAACGTACTCCACAAAAACCAACAAAGTAATTTGGCAACCAAGTAAGATGATTGCGGAGACTGAATATTTATCTCAGAGCACAGTAGCATGTTTTATAAGTCACAAATGCTTACAGGGAGAAGAATGATTTTTAAAAATGTTTACCTTTCTATGTTGAGATCATTGTAGACTCATATGCAGTTGTCAGGAATAGCACAGAGATTTTCTGTGATCTTTACCCAGTTCTCCCATTGGTAACATCTTAGATAAGTGTAGTGTGAACCTCACCACCAGGATCCATAAGGACACCTCCAGACCCAGGGCCCCTCGCACAGGGTCCCTCACGCGGACACCTCCAGACCCAGGGCACCCCTCGCACAGGGTTCCTCACACGGACACCTCCAGACCCAGGGCCCCTCGCACAGGGTCCCTCACGCGGACACCTCCAGACCCAGGGCACCCCTCGCACAGGGTCCCTCACACGGACACCTCCAGACCCAGGGCACTCCTCGTACAGGGTCCCTCACACGGACACCTCCAGACCCAGGGCACCCCTCGCACAGGGTCCCTCACGCGGACACCTCCAGACCCAGGGCCCCTTGCACAGGGTCCCTCCTGAGGCTGCTATGTAGTTGCAACCACTTCCCTCTGCCGCCTCCTCCCTATTCCCTGGTCACCAAGAATCTGTTCCCCATCTCTAATCTGGTCATTTCAAGAATGTCCAGCAGGCTAACTTTGGGGATTGGTGTCTTTTACACAGCGCAATTCTCTGGAGATTCATCTAGGTTGCTGCTGTATCAGTAGGTAATTTCTTTCTATTGCTTACTATTTAGTGGCAGGCAAATGAACTACAGTTTGCTTAACCACTGAAGTACATCTGGGTTAGCCCTAGTTTTTGATTATCACAAATAAAACTGCTGTAAATATTCACTGCACAGATTTTTTGGCGAAGTTTCCATTTATTTTGGACAGGAGTGCTGAGTGAGATGGTATAAACCTCAGGAGCGTGAGTGCTAGGTCTGGACAGGAGTGCCGAGTGAGATGGTATAAATCCCGGGAGCGTGGGTGCTAGGTCTAGACAGGAATGCCGAGTGAGATAGTATAAACCTCAGGAGCGTGAGTGCTAGGTCTGGACAGGTGTGCCGAGTGAGATGGTATAAACGCCCGGGAGTATGAGTGCTAGGTTTAGAAAGGAGTGCCGAGTGAGATGGTATAAACTTCCGGGAGCATGGGTGCTAGGTCTAGACAGGAGTACCGAGTGAGATGGTATAAACCCCGGGAGCATGGGTGCTAGGTCTAGACAGGAGTGCCGAGTGAGATGGTATAAACTTCCGGGAGCATGGGTGCTAGCTCTAGACAGGAGTGCCGAGTGAGATGGTATAAACCCCGGGAGCGTGGGTGCTAGGTCTAGACAGGAGTGCCGAGTGAGATGGTATAAACGCCCGGGAGTGTGGGTGCTAGGTCACATGGTGGCGGTATAGTTTTTCAAAGAAATTGTTAAAACATCTTCCAGATAGTAGGATTTATGCTCCCACAGCAATATAAGAGCTACCCAGTTTCCATGACTCTTCCCCACAATTCTGGCAGGTGTGAGGCGGAGCCCCCTGTGGTCTAACCTGGTCTCTGTGGCTGACGATGCGGGCATCGTTTCACGGGCTTGCTTGCGGTCTGTGCATCCCCTCACACACAGGGTGGCTGCCTCTGCGCCTTCTGTCCTTTTCTTAATGGGACTGCTCCTTCATGGCTGAGCTTGGAGATTCTTTAGGGACTGCTGGACACAAGTCTTGCCAACACCTGCTTTCCCTTCTGGAAGTGGCCCTCACTGGCTGCAGCATCCCGTGCCCATGAGGCCTTTCTCCAGCACCTGAATCCCTCTGCCTGCACGGTTTCCAATTATCCCCAACATGCCCTGTCACCCCACTGGCTGCTTTCAATGTGTTTCTTTGTCTTTAGTTTTCACCAGTTTGATTACGATTATCTTTGACTTTATCCTGTTCAGGGTTTGCTTACTTTCTTGAATCTGTGCATTTATGTATTTTGCCAAATCTGGGAGGTTTTCAGTCTTTATTCCTTCAAGTACTTTCCTAGCCCTGCCCTGTCCCTTCTCCCCTGGAACTCCCATGGCACCAACGGTCAGAGGCCAGGGCTCCCACGGCACAAACGGTACAGTTACCATTTTGCTGTCCCTGAGGCTCTGATCCATTTTTTTTTTCAGTCAATTTTCTCTCTGTTGTTCATATTGAGGACTTTCTGTTTTTCTATCTTCCAGTTCACTGTGTCCTTCCTCTGTTCCTTCTATTTTGCTGCTAAGCCCAGTCGTGGCATTTTTTGTCTGGGTTATTTCTCATCTCTAAGATTTACATTTGGTTCTGCTCTGTATCTTGTCTGCTGGGCTGTTCTATTTTGCCATTTGCTCCAAGTATGTTTGTAATGGCTGTTTCCCAGTCTTTGTCAGAGAATTCTAGCATCTCTGCCATCTCAGGGCTGGCTTCTGTTGCCTGTCTTCCATTCACCTTGAAATCTTCCTGGTTCTCGGTATGGCAAAGGACTGACGGAAGCCTTGACATTCCGGGTACTGCGTATGAGACTGAATTTTCTGAAGGGTGCTGACCCTGCTGCGGTGGGGAGAAGAGGGCACTGTTCTTGTTGCTGTGCAGGGGCAGGGTTCAGGCTCCCTGTGCGGCCTCCACTGACACTGAGGGGCTCATTATCCTCGACACTGGGGATGGAGTCCTGCCTCCCATTCCATCACCCTGGAGATGCTGGGTGCCTCGCTACATCTCGTGAAGTGGCACTTTCAGCTCTCCACTTGCCTTTTTGGGGAGGGGGAGCGGGCACAGCCCTTCCCTGGCGTCTGGGTGGAGTAGAGTGACGATCATCTGAAAGTCATCTGTCGTCCTGGCGCCCCTTTTGTGGACCTGCGGTTGGAGAGGCTGGGCCCTCGCTGGGACTTTCAAATTTTAAATTTCTGCACCCATGGGCGTTTCCAGGCTGCCGGCTCCCTCAGCTCCAGCTGTTGGAAAATGTGGGGAGCTCCTGCCGCCTCGCCCCTTGCCCCTCTGTTCACCTCGCTCCCCACTCAGAGCCTTCTGTGTGTGATGCCCACAGTTTCAAGCTCAACTTAGCACAAGGAGCAGGGAGGAACCCATCTACTCCACCTCCCACCGTCCTGGAAGTGGAATTGGGCCGGAAGTGGAGCTGGGCCGGAAGTGGAGCTGGGCCGGAAGTGGAGCTGGGATTTTTTTTTTTGAGACAGGGTCTCACTCCGTGGCCCAGGCTGGAGTACAACGGTACAATCATGACTCACTGCAGCCTTGACCTCCTAGGCTCAGCTGATCCTCTCACCTCAGCCTCCTGAGTAGCTGGACTGCAGGAATGCACCACCATGTCCAGCTAATGTTCTTTTGTAGAGATGGAGTGTCACCATGTTTCCCAGGCTGGTCTCACACTCCTAGCCTCAAGAAATCTTCCCAACTTGGCCTCCCAAAGGGCTGGGATTACAGGCATGAGCCACTGCACTTGGCTGGGTTTTTTTTTGTCGTTGTTGTTAAATGACATTGTCACCTATGAGAAAGCATTCTCATAGTTATCTCAGGTTGGGAAAGTGACCCAGTGGCAGAGAACCAGAAACACCCATGACACCACGTTATCTTGTAGCCTGGAAACATGCGGATACCTAAAGGCTATATTCTGTTTTAATATGACTGAGATCCCATGGTCACAGACTGTTTTATTTTTAAAACTGTTGTGGGTTCTATAAGAAACGTTTTCTTCTAAGGTACTTTTAGTCTAGCTCACATTGTTTTCTTGACGGGTCACTGCTGGGCACTAAACATCTACATGCTCAGAGAACTTTATCCAGAAATTCAACTTTAATTTATTGGGTTGAACTTGTACAACACTGCTGTACTTCCCTCGAAATCTTTAATCACTTTTGTTAACTTTCTTTGAACAACTCCCACTCTGCTTAGGATTTAGGAACAGGGACAAATAATTCAAGGAGAGCCCAACCAGGAGTTAAGATGGCAGGTCATCCCCTGGCGATGCCTGGCGAGGGCGGGCGTCCTGTTCTGCGTGCACACAGGCAGGTGGACACTCAGCCGTGCGGCTTGTGACTCGCTCACACCAGCAGGAAGGACCACGTGCAGTCACGATTTCTGTATGTGCATTTATGAGAACTCTTGCTTTACTTATGCCAGAAATCTCCCTATCTCTTCAGCCCTTAACAACAAAAACCCCACTGCTGCCTCCTTTTCACCTACTCTCTGGAGGTGTAACTTTCAGCATGTGAGCGATGAGTTTTGACAAGCGTCATGGAAACACGGTGTGATCATGACGCAGAGCATCTCCGTCACCCGCCAGGAGGAGGCCTGTGATGCGCCAGGTGGGAGACCCCTGCTTCCCTTGCTGCCGCGAGTCCCACAAAAATGGCTGTTTCCCGCAAGCTCTCTAACACCTGGCTATTCTCTCCGGGTGGTCTCTGCTCTCTGCGGGTGGGTCTCTCCAGGCCAGTGGTGTTGGGGCTCGCCCACCTTGCCGAGTGTGTCCTCTGCTTTCTCTGTGCTGCAGGGCGATGGACACAGCGCAGCTCTTCCACCCCCCGGCGGATGGCCGTTGGAGTTTTCCCAGTCTGTGGAGATCACAGCTGAAGTGGTGAGAGTCCTGGTGCCAGTCTGAGTGGAAGAATGAGTGTTTTCCTTTTTCCTGGGTGAACACTGAGGAGGGAGGTTGCTGGGGCATGGACAGTGAATGTTTAATTTCATAAAAACTGCCAGTCTGCTTTCTGGAGTGGCTGGACCATCTGCACTCTCGCCAGCAGTGCCGCCCTGCTGCCCGCCTGCCAACACGCCACTCGGCCTTTCGGCTTGGCCTCCGCGGTGGCAGAGCCTTAACTCTCTCTGTGGCTTAAATTTATCTTTCCT